GGGGGGGGGGGGGGGGGGGGGGGGGCATCGCATTCCTTACCGCCACCCTCCACGACGAACCCACCTCGTGAATTCGCTCCACGTATCGTGAGACTGTTTCTCATGCGCCGCCTGACCTGACCTGACCGAACCAGTGAATTATACAAGTGAATGCACACAATCACGTCGGCGTTTCAGTTTATGGACTCGATCCGCCCCAGTGGAAAGTAAAAAAAATAAATAAAAAAAAACAACAAACAAACTACTGTACAGTTCATTTTAAATTAACCGGATGAGGTGAAGCTAAGCATAAACAGAAATGGATGGCAGACCTCCAAAAACGCGCCGAACTGAAAATAATGTGACTTATTTAGAAAGAACCGGACAGGTAATGCAGACAATTTTTTTCAACTTGAAAGCTCTTCGAATTTGAAAAATCCGAGGATATTTCAAATATTGTAATATAATACTTTTTTGCGGTGCAGGTATTCTCTAACCAAAACGGAAAGGTGGCGTTTAATCGAAAATTCAGTGGGACACAAAATTCGAATACCGTTAGAATTCCTTTTTTGAATAATACCTTGACAACGATTTTCCGGTAAAATACATTTTACTGAATAATTTTTCATTTTATTTGCATTGCCACTTCAGAAGTTCTCAACAGTTCATATGCTTAGAATGATTTAGAGTACAGTATATTTGAAAAAAAAACATTCCGAACCCTTTTAAAAGTTTCCTGATGATTGCAGTACTTTAATACACCATCACAGAACAACCACGAATTTCGGAGACCCGCGCTCAACATAACTACAAAGGAGAAGGCGATTATCCTTTTCACACAAAAAATTGCAGACAGTCTTGTATGCAATGGACCTGCAGCAAAAATATGTTGCAGTTCGAAAAATCAATCATGTGAAGCGTCCATTACCCGGGCAACCATGTACATCCGACCCCGAGAGACTTTCGAAAAAGAGAATTTCAAATACAATAAATAAAAGACTGGTATGATTCGAAGGGTTATTCAAGTTCTAGTGAATGGCTTATGTTCCTGATTTTCATCGGGATTTCCGATTTAGTTTCATGACATGGCCCTGAAAAAAATTAATGTTGTAAACATTTACGACAGTTTCCTTACGGAGCCAGGCTGATCCGAAAGAAAAAATAAAACTTCCGAAAGACGAACATGGTTTCATTTTTATTACCGGCCATTTTTGGAGAAATGCTTACACAGTGTATTCTACGAATATCTGAATAGATCCATTGAGAGCTTCGAATTCTTCAACTGATCGTAAATTCAAATTATAATTCATTATTTGAACGAACAGTGTACAGTAATCGAAGGCAAGTTTCCGGTGTAAAAAAAGATAATTAATTCAATTACGTAATCCATTAAATAGCATTCACAGCCAAAAAATTCAAACGCCGCAGTCATTTGCATTTTTATATGCAGCTCAATACAGCTTTTCGCAGTTTTCCCACGAATTTCCCGAAAACCAATTCGCTCAAATTTTTGTGAACCCAGTTGCCACCAGGGATCTCCTATGGTTTCCAACGGACAATAATCCTCTTCGACCCACTTAATCTTCAGGGGAGAAAAAAAATCTCGAAGGGGACAAAAAGCCTATTCAAAGTAACCCAAAGAAGACGACTAGCTTCGGAGTTGCGTACGTTTAAAAATTAAGCACCTAAAATTCCTCCAGGTCGAACGCATGGGACTCGAAATTCACGAAAAAAGGGATTTTCAGACAAGAACCGGAATTTCTCACCTCGTCTTTCGATTCCTTCGCCTCCATTTTTTTTTTAACTTTCTTTTTTTTTTTTGAATCAGCAAAGGAAAAAAAAATACTTTACTATACGTTGATGAAATAACAAGCACGGCCTCAATGCGACCAAGGTTCGTCACACTCCGAGCGTCACCAGGAACTCACCTGATTCACGCATGCTGCATGATTATATCCCTCTGCCCTCAATTGAACACACGCCCATCGAGATCACATCTCGCCGTTGAATCAGTCTAATCACAAATCGCACGCACAAAATGTTGAAATATTTTACCAGCAGTGTAGAAAATTTTACGGAAAGGTATGTGGGTGGCACACGGGAGCATCAGATGTCGGAATGTGTCTATTGATTAATTACGAGTGCACTGTTGGAACTCCGACTGGGAAATTCCGATAACGATTCCGAAATTTATCCCCCGCACATCAATTAAGCAATCTACTGCTCGGGAAAATAAGTATTTGTCGGGGGCTCTCCAATATTACAAGCTGCATCTCGGGGCTCTCTTTCGTGTGAACGATCTCTCAATT